GTCTCTCAAATCATAATTCGAGTCTAGAATCATTTCAAGGAAATAATTTAAAGGCAATGATCTTGGGTTTACAAAAAGAAATTAGTGAATCTAAATGAGTAAACCCAAACCAAAACATGTACAAATCTAAGAATACAATAAACAAAATGAATAAACATGAAAAATTAAGCTAAAAGAGAGAAGCACGCGGATCAAAAGGGAGACACACGGTTTGAAGAATAAATGGACACGTTCGTGTATGATTTAGCTTAAGAAGTCACTTGGATAGAAAGGGAGACACAATTTATTTTAAAAAGTCACACATCCATACATGAATTAGCTAAAAGAAAAGACACAAGTAGAATTGATTCACATGGTTTGCTTTAAAAATTAACACACTTGTGCGTGAATTTGATAAAATAAGGGACATAGGCAGAAAGAATTTCACATGGTTGAGAATAATTCCACACAATTGTTTATAATATATATTTTAAAGGAAAAAAGTCACACAACTAATGTATGTTTCACACGATTTGATGGCAATTATCACATCGTCGTGTGTGATTTTTTTCAAAAGAATTATCATTTCGGAAGCAGAAGGCACACGGCTAGAATGCAATTAACATGGTTTGGAGAAGAAATTCACAAGGCTTGAAAGAAAAATTGCCACACCCGTATTCCATGCAAAACCCCTTTTTCATGTATATTTCTTTCCAATATATTTCCATTCCTTATAACTTATCAAGAAAACATAAACTAGTAGGTACACTTGTCGATTTATCCATATAATTCAAGATAATAACATAGGTTAGAATAGAGCCTATGATCTACAATTATCCTAGACTCTAAACCCATGCTCGATACCAACCCTTGTCTTGATCCTAGGAGTGGGCCATAACTAGCATGAGGATCGAAGGAATCGTGAGGCCCATATCGACCCAAGTAAGCATCGAATACTAATCTAAAGTCCAAAAACCATCACCAACATCAAATATGATTCCTATTTCACATTAATCTTAACTTAATAAACATTTCTTGAACATTAATGCATTTCATAAATTTCATGTTATTCTCATTTCAATGTCTAAGATCAATATTCTTAATCAAATTCTAATATACTACCCACAGCTATAATCGCAGAGCATCTAAGATTACAAATTTAAAATAAACATAAGTTCTAAAGATTTTACAAGGAAATAAATCGCATAGTCAAAGTACCGACTTCAAATCAAATAGCCAAGAGAAAGCAATGAGCAATCCCTCAATATCCTATAAGACCGAAATAATGAGGGATGTGTAATCAACGACTCGGTGAGTAGACATTATATAATCTACTAAATGAGGAAAACAAACTAATGTTGATGATTTAAAATTTATCTCAACATGGTATGCTAGTTTCTCAAAATACCCGCATATCGAAAACATATTTCATATCATAATTCAAATGGTTCAAAACCATTTCACATCAAATTGTTAACCCATTTCTACATACATATATCATACTTATACAAAAACACATATTTAGCTTTTTATACATCTATAAGGTAATAACGTATCATTAGGTGCGAACACCTAAAGGTCATGCCCTTCGTGACTAAGTTTTCGCACGTTGATCGACATATGGTCTAGCACTATACCTCTCCTACGAGATAAAGCCTCGTATCATTGAGCTCAAAGGCTATCCCTCAATAGCTAGGTTCCTCAATGTCTCAAAAACATTTTTGAAAACTAAATACATTTATACATTTTCAAATTGGTATTTCGAATACCATGCATGCATTTTCATAAAATACACATATACTTAAAATAATGAACATAACATATACACGTTCAAATTCAAAAACACATATAAAATCTCCTTTAATTCATATAAAATCATTTGAATATGAAATCATTTCAAATATTCTTGATGTCCGTTTTCATCTTAGTTCTACTAGAATGCTTATAAATCATTCATAAAAAATGATGCATAATGGACATAATTTCAAGGAATTAAAATACGAGTACACTATATAATATCCACTCATAATACAATTTGAAAAATCAAATGAAATCAAGGTTATGATGAAGTCGCTTGCTCCGAAAAATCTATCATCACAAAATTATGGATCATCCATCAATATCACATAAAAAGGAATAATCCAAACAATGGATTATTCTAAAATTAAAATATAAGATTATTAAATAAAATGAAATTGGTTGGAAAGACTTGACCGATAATCTAACTAAACCCTATAATCCTTTAATTGGTTCTAAATAATCATCTAATCACATTCTTTTACGAATTTTCAATCCATTTTTTAAACAATCAACTGGTTCTCAATTCTATTATAACTCACCTAATAATCACTCCTTTCATCTTTAATTATACTTTTATAACTTAATTCCTCATTTTCCCAAAAATTCTTTCCATTAAACTATAAATTCAAATTTGTCATTATTCATCATCTTCAACCTCTTAATTTCTCAAATTCACTCAACTTTACTTCAAATTAACTTCTTAATTCACTTGTCCAAGATAATTAAACATCAATTAAATACTTAGGATCATTTAATCAAACTTTCTCTCAAATAGGTCTAAAAAACCCTAATCTTAATCTAATCAATTCCTCAAGTAATTAGTAACCCAAAGCAATTTCAATTCAATATCATCATTATTACATATAAACATTCTAATTTAAAAATCAATTGATCAAAATATTACCTTAAGAACTTGTCCTTCAATTCTCCAATTTCTTTCTAGTTTCTCCAAGCTTCCAAAGCTCCAAGCTAACTAAACTCCACTTAACCAACTTATTTAAGGTTTTTCTAAGCTAATCTATCTATAGCGTAGCTTAGGAAATAAGGTGAGAATTTGGGAGAGTAATGTGAGAGAGAGGGAGAGGAGAAATAAGGGAAAATTCTAGAAATAGGAGCGAGTTGCTACTTCTATTTATACCAACCCAAATTTCCTTTTTTTTTTTTTTTTCCCTAATTCGAGGTTATTAGAAATTGAGGATTATCATGTATCTTTATTTTCAAAAGTTGTGAAGGCAATAACTATTATAAGTGATTGACTTTTAAACCAAAATAGAAAATATATGATATTTTATTTACTTAAACTCATTATGTTTCTACTTTTTATGCATTTAGTAATGAAGGCGGAGTAATTAAAGATTGTTGTGTATCTTTACTTTCGGAGGTTGTGAAGATAATAATTATTACAACCGATTGTCTTTCAAATCAAACAAAAAATATATGGTATTTTATTTATTTAAGCTCATTATGTTTCTACTCTTTATGAATTAAACAATTATAAAATTATTATTTGCCTTTTTTTTTTTTGACGTGTTTATATTTTTTATATAGTATGAGCTATTATGGAGTTGAATAATGAATATATTCAAAAGTGATTATTTTATTTGATTCAAACTTGATGATAATAATCATAAATATACTCGATAAATTTTTGTAAACTTGTTACAAATACTTGATATTATTAATTTCTTGTCTTGCTTTCTTTGCGAGCTTGACTTGTAGCGATAATATTTTAGAATTTGAATTAATAAATATTCATTTTACTACCACATGAATAAGAAATAAAGACTTTTTTTTTTGTTTTATCATACTTCCTACCTAGTTCAAGACAAATTTGTATTAGAATTCTTTTTATGAGCTTTTGAATTGTGTGGTATCTTGAATTTTTTTTTTATAAAATTAATAGATAATACATTATTTATCTTAATATATTTCTTATACACGTAGTTGTTCAAATATATTTATATTGAAGCAATATACTAAATGTAGTAAGTATTGTTTTTTTTTTTTTATAAAAAATAAATGATAAATTCAATGGAGTTTCGAACTCGATCAAAATTCAATAGAATCTAGATCCGTAATAATATTTTTAAATCGATTTGAATTCATAAGATCGATTCAATGAGTTTTTATTAAACAAATTGGATACTCTAATACTAATCAAGTTGTGTATTGTGTAGATAGTTTTATGATTTTTCTTTAGCTTTCTAATTTAATTTTAAATTAATTTTGACCTTTAATATAGGGTTTTTTTAAAAAAATTATTTGATTTTGTTCTTTTTACTGGTCAAATGTTTTGATTTATTTTAATTGATATATTAAATATTATTATAATATATTTTTAATACATGCAGTAATTGAAATTTATTTATGTCAAAATATAATTTTAAACATAGATTTTTTTTTGGAAAAAATTAAATACTTCTTCTGTCCATTCTTTTTTCTATTTATATTTGTTTGGTCAAAATTTTTAATACTACATATATTTTTTAAATATTCTATTTTGTAATACATGATTAAGTTGGATATATTTTCTCCATAAACAAAGAAAAATGTATTAAAAAATATTATTATAATATTATAATTAGTAAATTTCTTAAACAATGTGAAAATTAAAAAAAAAAAAAAAGTCACTTTGAAACATAGAAATTTTTTTTTTTTGAAAAAAATGATTATCACTTTTAAACGCATAAAAGTAATAAATTCAATCCAAAATCTACTACGGAACAAATTCTAATGAACCATTAAAAAACTCGATTAAAACTTATGATATTCAGTTTTATCATCTCACAATTCTGTCTGGTAGGACGTGATCTTCTCCTAGCTAGGGAGTGGTGACTAGAAAAGGTGATCAAGACCATCCCTCGACGAATCAAAAGGAATGCCAAGGGCATAGACTCTGGGATATGTCGGCCAAGGCCAAGAGCATAGCAGTCTCTGAATGCATTTTTATTGCAGAAACTCTTATAGGACCATATAACCAATTAAACACATCCACGTACCCAATACGTGTCCTCCCTATGCTGGCCCACCATTCGATCATTATTTTATATAGGCCCCACGCCACATCCATTTACCACTTGGCAAGCATCCCATCGTAAACGGCATCGTTTTCTTACCATAGAAATACAAACTTCAACAGCATAAAACCCATCCTGGTTCCTCGTTTCTCATCTCTTCACCTTCATCCAGAAAAAAAAAACCAGAAAAGGAAAACTAATACGATGCCGTTCTACTCGCGAGGAGACGATGATCAGGTCGACGATTTCGATGAGTACGATCCAACCCCATACAGTGGCGGATACGACATTGTCTTAACGTATGGTCGCCCACTCCCACCTTCCGATGAGACCTGCTATCCAGCCAGCTCAGCCGGTGAGATCGACTATGATCGCCCCAATTACTCCTCTTATTCCGAGCCATCTGCTTACGCTGATGAAGCTCTTGAAACCGAATACAGCAGCTATGCTCGTCCCAAGCCCCGACCTGGATCAACATCCGGATCCACTTATGGTGGACCTCAACCGGCTTATGGATTCCAGCCTGGAATGAATAGGCCCGGATCGGAGTATGGGTCTGGTGGGTATGAGAAGCCGGCCAGTGAGGAGTATGGGTCGGGTTATGGTAAGAGACCCGAATCTGAATATGGGTCTGGTGGGTATGGCAAGCCTCAAAGTGACGAATATGGATCGGGGTATGGACGGAGACCAGAGACCGAATATGGTTCTGGTGGCTATGAGAAGCCTAGCGAGTATGGGAGGCGACCCGAGCCGGAATATGGATCTGGCTATGAGAAGCCGAGCGAGTATGGGTCTGGTTATGGACGGAGACCAGAGACCGAATATGGGTCTGGTGGCTATGAGAAGCCTAGCGAGTATGGGAGGCGACCCGAGCCCGAGTATGGATCTGGCTATGAGAAGCCGAGCGAGTATGGGTCTGGTTATGGACGCAAACAAGAATCGGAGTACGGGTCTGGGTATGAGAGGCCACAGAGTGAGGAATACGGATCTGGTTATGGAAGGAGACCTGAATCTGGACATGAGAAGCCAAGTGAGTATGGGTCTGTTTATGGGAAGAAATCCGAATACGGGTCTGGATATGAGAATCCAAGTGAGTATGGGTCGGATTATAGGAAATCCGGATCTGAATACGGGTCTGGGTATGAGAAACCCAGCGAATATGGAGGAAGGACTGAGGGATCTGGGTATGGAAGGAGGCCAGCGTCTGAATACGAGGGAGGTGGGTCGGAATATGGGTCTGGGTATGAGAGGAAGCAGAGTTATGGCGAAGAGGGAGAAGGGTATGGAGGAAGGAGCCGATATGAGAAGCCAAGTTATGGGAGACAAGAGGGGGAGAAGAGTATCGTGAAGGTGGTGAAGAGGGCTATGGCCGCAAGAAATATGTAAGTAGTTTTCTAAAAATTTCAGACTTTATGCTTATGGTTTTTTATGCAACGTGAGATCATTTCATGATTCTTGGTAAGGTAGTTTGCTTATCTGCTGTAGTGGGTGCTTGTTTTTCATGTTTTGTGTTGTAATGTTTTGAGTTGCTGTCTGTGTTAGAATTTTTGTTTTGCTCTCTTGACTTGTAAGTGATTTAAAACAATGTATAAAATGCCTAATCTAGGACACGTTTCTTGCCTTTTGCATTTTTTGAGAGTATAAGCATGATGCTTTTCCTGTGTTTGAAGCAACCCAATTATAATTGCTATATCAGTTAGTATGGATTGATATGGTTCTGAAAATTACGAGAAACGATGATCTGGAAGACCCTTGCATTTGACTTTTGGACCATAGGTAGGATATGATTATTCCCATCAGTAGGGCATGTTCGCAATAGTTCAGTGGATTGTTTTTTATGAAATTGAGGTTAAGATGAGAAGAAGTTCGAACTTCAAATGGGTGGCTTGTCGTGAAAAACATTTGATTATCAATTCAATTAATATAACAAATGCAAGTGGTTTGTTGTCTGGACTTTCGAAACCTATATTTTCTTAGAAATCCATCAGGAAAAATTAGGAGTTGCTTAGTGTATGTACATCCTACAAATGCCCCAAGGAGATTATATTGTTTGCTTTTCTGTTTTTGCTTGTTACTGCTCAACTGTATGTGTCAGTTTAGAGCAGGTGGGTTAGAAGTTTTTTTTTTTATTCTGTTAGTAATTCGTTAGTAAAATTAAGAAGGTGCTTAGTCATGATTGCATTGAGAAGATTTATGGGAGTTTTCCACTTTTTTGTCCATTGATCTTTTTACCGAACTCAAAATTTTCTGTTCAGTTCTGTGGTGCCCGTCTTTTAGCCATCGACAAACTTCAATTTCTGTGGACGAATATCTGCTATCCAATTTTTTTTTTTTCCTACCCCCAAGTAATCCTATATAAGCGGCTAAAATAGAGTAAATTGTTGTCCTGTTAGGCTGTTACTTTCCCATCATATTTGTGTATTTGTCTGTAATGGTTTCCTGAGAATATGTACTGAATTACCCACTGGTTTTATTAACACCTTGTTGCCATCATGATGTTTACTCTTACCAATAGTTATTGTTTGCGTTTAGATAGTTTTTTAGCTAAAAAATCAGTAGTTATTTTAAACGTGTCAAAACTTTGGGGTTACTCTGAAAAATAATCAGAACTTTCCTTTTCTAGCTTACCTAGAGAAGAATACAATATTTGAGTGCCCCGTCATTCCGCATAATAGAACGGCTATCAACAAAGTCGTGCATTCATATAAATTTGCCATTCTATTCGGATAGTTGAAATCTGACATTATCTTAATCATGCATGAAATTGGCAGGGAGATGACAATTCTGATGATGAGGAGAAGAAGCATCACCGTTACAAGCAGCGCCACCACAGGAAGAACTACGATGACGAGTGATCAATCAAACTATTATCGCGCTGCTATTAAATAAAGGGTTCTGTCATGTTTGTTTCCTTCTAATGGTACTTTTGTCTGAGCCTTCTTTGTGGATGCCATTGTGTGCGTATGTGCAATCTATTCCAAACTTGTGGTGTGTTCTTAAAGCAGCTTTATGATAATAATGATAACTATGTGGTGTGATATGATGTGGATTTAATCCTTCTCTAGTGTCACATTGAAATGGGGATGGCAGGATTGGATCCTCTTTTCTTGCTGGAATTTCTCCCAGTATAGATTGGTTTTTATAACTGTGGTCCCCACTGCTTGACCATAATGGACCCCATCAGAGGAGTACTTTACGCAATGGATCTTAAAGTATAGATATAAGTTGTATTTAAATATGTTGAACCAATTTGGTCCTTGAATTTGCATAATTCTAACGATTGCTGGATCTTAAAGTATAGCTGGTTTCTTCAGATTCCTTAGAAACCAGGCTATTTTGCTGATGCCTTGGTGATTCGGAGAATGCATAAAAAGTTGTAACAGTAATTGGTTTGCCAAAATGCGGTTCAACTTTCAAACTTTTTTTGAGGGCTAAACTAAGTTCCGGGCCAGTAAATTGAACTGTAAAAAACTGATCTGTAGCTTGTGAGTGAGCGTAACCAGCACTTTAACTGGGGGGTTGCAACTGTGTATGCACCATGGGGAGCAATTCCTTTTAAGCTATTCTGTAGTTCCAAAGCACAAGGACTGACGATGGTACTGTTAATTCATGGGTTAAATACACTCTTTTTTTTTTAACGGTATCGAAAAATATTGATATAATTTCTTTGTAGAGATATAATTTATAATAAATCTTTCATTATTTATTGTTGGCATAAAATAGCCGCCCCCCCCCCCCCTCCCGGGGATCAATTTTTATTAATCGACTAACGTCAACTTAAAGATAAAAATATAATTTTATTTTTAAATCAATCTCTCTCTCTCTTTTTTAAGTAATTAATCATTATTAAAGAATTCTTATTATTAATGAATTTATAATAATTTTTATTAAAGAGTTTAAAAAAACTAAAGAAATTATTTTTTCAATTTTTAATGATTTTACAATAATTATTAATGAAGAAAATTTAAAAAAAAATCTAAAGAAAGGTTTTCTTAAAAAACTGAAAAACTTGTAATCAAATTTTTTATTTTAAATTTTTTTAATTAAAAATAATAATTATTAAAAATTTCGTTAGTTTTCTTTTTAATTTTATTTAATAATAATAATACTAATAAAATTGAAAAAAAATTCTTTAGATTTTTTTTTAAAATTTTTTGTATTAATAATTATTATAAAAAATTGAAAATTGAAAAACAATTCCTTATATATATTTTATGGGAATCTCATATGAGATTGGCACAACTAGTCCTTAGACTTAAGGTCATCACGGTTATCTCATTAGAAGATTTATATACTTTAATACTCGTTTTGATGGACCCAAGAAAGGGTTGCATATGGATGATTTGTTGAGTATACTAAAAATCTAATGGAAGTACGTGAATTACTAAGATTGAATATATCATTCCTTTTATGCTAAAAGAGTTACAACATTGAACTTATTTATTAATAAAAGAAGTCTTTCTATTAATTCTTATTGTGTACAATTTGATATAATTAAATAAAAGTTCATATGATATGTATTACATTAACGATTGATCAATTGATGTGAGATAAAATTGATGCATTTAAATGATATCATTAAATATCTTAAGTCATAGCATTATCAAAAATAGACATTGACTATATGTCATAAGACTAATGAATGTTATACTTATGCTATAAGATAGTAGTAAAAAATCTCACACCTATTAGAATAATGATGCCAAATGAAGCACTTATGTGATTTATTTTAGAGAACATATCATTGGACTTGACTAGCTATGAGAACCCATTTGGTTTACACCAAAATTTTCTTTATCAACAATTATTATTAAATCATTAAAATGTTAAAATAAAAATCATTATTTTAAAATTTTTCCTTAGAAAATTTTCAATTTTTAATGATTTTATAATAATAATAAAAAATTATTTTAGCTTTAAAAAATTTGAAAAAAGCTTATTTTAAAAGAAAATTATATTTTTATTCATAAGTTAACACGTATCGTCACTTGATTGGACAAAATAAGTTAACATAGAGACGAGATTAAGATAAATGAACTTAAGACAAAAAAGAGTAAAGAGAGAGGAAAAAAAAAAAAGTAGAAAAACTTCGCAACCCTTAACTCCTTTTTAAGACTTTATCTTGAATGTCACAAAATGTGTTATGTGTGGAACTTCTAGTAAAATTATGAAGTATTATTTTCTTACAAAATTGTTATAATAAGTTAAAATATAATAAAATAATATACAAAAAAGAATAAAAATATGATAATGTACAATATCAATTAGCCACGGACCCTTAGTTGATGGGTCTAATCCTCCAAAAAAAAAAAAAAAAAAGAAATTCTGAATATTTGACTAATTCAAATTGAAAAAATGGGATTACTTTCCGAAAAAAAGAAAGAAAAAGAATTACACTATATATATATTTTAATACGGAATTAGCTACTAGTTAACATTATTGTTGTTTTCATTTTAGTTTTGATGAATATAATTGTAGTCTATTTTTCTTTTTAATTGTGTATCAAGTTTGGTTTGTTTGTATTTTTTTAACAGCCATATATATATATATATATATATATATATATACTCACAATTTTTATGTGATGAGATTTCACATATGATATATTTTGTGGCGTTTAAGATGAGATCTTAAAAAAAAAAAAAAAAACAATAAAACAAAAATTGATCTTGTACTTTTGAAACATGTTGATTGAGTATTGATATTTAAATTATCTTTATTGAATCCTTCTTTTATAGTACTATATATAATACGTGTCACATATTTAAAAATGAACGTGTCATGTCATCCGATGAACTAAAAAAGCTTTATTACGGAGGGATGAAAAACAAAACAAAATGAAAAGTTCAATCTATATATATATCAACAAATACATAAATTTTATAATGGGCAAAGCCCACAACAAAATCGTCAGGGAAGAAAAAAATCTGTCATTTGAATCGCCAACGAGAATGTGCACTGAAAGAATGAGGGATCAAATGCCTATAAGTGGTTGTGCCACTATTCCATTTAAAAAAAGCTTACTTATTATGCATGGTGCAATCCAAAATGCATGAATTGTCCAATAGTAGTTATTTTATACCAAGCCATAGTAGTTGCTTTTCAATGCAATTTTGGTTGTCAACAACCTAAACTTAAAACTATGGTCTATATAATGCTAAGATGGCATATGATACAGGATCAATCTTCTTAGCAAAATAAAAAGTTCGCAGCAAGCCCTTGAAAATCTCAACTCACAGACCCATCATAACACATCCCCATAACTCTCTGCAAGTATAAAAACAGTCCGATTATTCTTCTATGTCTAGTTTTTCATCTCCTAAACTTGCTATTTTTAAGCAACCTATATAAACTAGAATCTTTCTTTTAGAAAGGGTTTAAATCCTTACGAAGCTAGCTACTGCTATAATGTCCATAGTGGTAAGTTGTTGAATGGGTGGTTGACTTACAAAAGATATTCACAAGAAACACAAAACTAAAGATAGGATCAGTATTCAGTAGTGCCAAAAAAAAAAACAAATGTTGGTTTAAATAGGCTTTTAGCATTAATCCTACCCCTCTCCTTAGAGTCTTGTGTTTCTGGTGAATCTTTAAACTCAACCAATCTTTTACAACTCATCATTAGGATAACTCTGTTTAGCTCCAAACATCACAGCTTCTCCAATTGCCAACGCTTCAATTATCTTTGCTTCTTTCAAGAAGTCCAAATAGAACCCTCCAAGTCCCAACCATCGAACCTTGTCGTGATGCTTTCTGCTTACTGCACCACGCTGCCTCACCAGTGCTTTTGACAAAACCACCATCACAAATGATATGTTGCAACTAACATTTCATGTATTCAATTGTTTACATGCATACTCTTCATATAGTACTCTCCAAGTTCATGAACTAATCTTTTCCTTCGCAGTTCGACCCATTTCATCATGACAATTATGACTACAAACTTTTTAACTTTGATCACTGGACAAAATCTCAGTCGCTAGTCACTAAATTGATTCGTTATGACTAGATTCTCGATGTTTTACAATCCTAATGATTCTGTAACAGATCATGCTACATGCATTCTGACAATAAACATCTTTTATTCCTGTTGTTTTTTGATAAATATACTGACTGTCGAAATCTTTTAGATAAAAGCAGAAAATCTACAATATTTTGATCCTACAATGCCAGATTTGGTCAGTCATCCACAGGACAACAACATCTACACAGGCTGTAGATCCCTTAAGTAGCTTAGCTAGTGTCCCAATGCTTGATTCAATTGCCTCATTCAATAACCTTTTTCCAGCGACTTAGCTTTCCTATGTGCAAAAGGAGCATCTTAAATGACGGTTGGTTGGTGTAATACGAGAGCCTTTGGTTAGCTTCTTCTCCAATAAATGTGTTTGCAGAACTCAAGCATGATTTTTCATCCTCAGAATAGCCGTCATAATATCTATTTCCACAATCAACAGTCCCGTTTCCAAAGATTTCAACCTATTAGAAACCTCGCTCCTGATAGCCTTTTTATTCATGATTAACACCTACCAAGAACAAAGTCACAGTTGTTGAGAATGATGCTGGACTGGAGCTGAACTTGGGCATGATTTATTGATCTCTGGTACCTTTGAGTCCAGCACAGGATTTAAAGTTCATCCTCCCACTCAACTTTAGCCCGGATTCTTTCTTGCTTCACCTACCATCATCACTTGCGGCATCTGTTTCACTTAAACTGTTTGACCTGCAGCAACATAAATATCTCGAAGAATAGTATAGTACCATCCTTCATCTGGTTTTAACTCTATTAGCTTCTTCACAACCCTCTCTCCCATATACGTATCACCATATTTTCTGCAGGCTGCAAGCAAAACTCCCCAAACAGCATCATTGCTTGGCAATGGCATGTTGGAAATTAGTTCATATGCTTGCTCTAACCACCCTGCTTGACCTAACATATTTATCATGCATCCGTAATGTTCAATACTTGCCTCAATTCCGTAGTCCCTCTGCATGCTCTCAAAAAGCCTGCAACCTTCATAAACCAACCCCATGTGTGCGTACGCAGTTAAAATAGCTAAGAAAGTTAACCCATCAGGTGCAACCCCAGAATTCATCATACAATTAAACAGCTCAAATGAATCTTCAGGGTCCCCATTGTTAGCACATGCAGAAATCATCGAATTCCATGTAACCAAGCTCTTCTTTCTCATCTTACTGAACACCTGCCACACTCTATCCATACATCCACACTTTGCATACATATCAATCAATGCATTACAAAGCGAAACCATCCATCCAAACCCATTCTCATCAATATAAGAATGCACACTAAACCCCATTTGCAAATCACCCAGATTAGTGCATGCTGAAATCACACTAACAAGAGTGACCTCATCTGGTCTCACTCCTGCATCTACCATATCCCTATACAACTCTAACGCCTCCCCCGAATACTTAGCTTGCGAATATGCAGAAACCATTGACGTCCAAGACACCACATCCCTCTCTGGCATCTGATCGAAAACCCATCTTGCACGGTCCAATTCTCCAGCCCTTACATGAGCTAAAACCAAACCAGACCACGAGACAACATCCACTCCCACCGTCTCATCAAAAACTCTCCAGGCTGCCACAGGATTCCCTCTCACGGCATACAAATGAATCAACGCATTTTGAACAAACAAATGTGAAGAAAAGCCAAACTTCAACACCGCCCCTTGTATCTCATCGCACTCTACGATCAATGGGAGGTTGCAATTTTTATTCACTCTCACTCTTGATCGCGCTTTTATCAAGAAATTGAAAGTAAATTCATCTGGGTCTACGCCATTTCGCCTCATCTGACTAACTAAATGCAAAGAATAAGAAGGTATTGAGCTTTTAGCATAGCCGCGAATGAGGGTGTTATAGAAGAAAGTATTTGGATGGGGCAATTGATCGAACAGGCTGTGAGCGTATGCTAAATCACCGGAAGGTGAGACGGCAGCAAAGCGAAGCATCTTGGCGAGGATAACGGAGTTGTCGTGGAGGCCTGTTAGAAAGGAGTGGGCGTGGATTTGCTTGAGGTGGGACATAGAGCGGCAAGTCTCTGCCATGGAAACAAGCGTGGAAGCAAGAGCGAGTATAGGCTTGCATTGTTGTTGGTTTGGCGGGTGCATTTAGGTGGTTTTCTCAAAGCAGGCAAGATCAATGGCTTGGGTCAATCGCTTGGTGGGGTTGGGTTGGGTCTTTCTTCATTTTAGGCCGGGTTGGTTTGTTCGACCTTCTTCCTATAAGGGTTAAGACTTTCAGAGCTGAGGCTTGATTAATCTCTTGTATGCTATGAGACAAAAATAAAGGGATTATTTAATTTGTTTTGCAAAATTAGAGGGACTAACAAATTTATATAGTTTACTCAAGGAATAAGGAATAGAATATAACTCTGAAAAAAGAAGAAGTAAAGGGACTGAACCAAATATAATTTGAACTAGGCTTGCATAATTCATCCATTATTATTCAAAATATACATTTTTGTGCAACTGATTATGTTCCTTTTGTTTTGTTTCAATTCTTTCTTGAGCAGAAAGTACATTTTCTGAAACGGGAGAGTGGGATACGAGAAATTCTGAAGCTGACTTATCTACATAATTCTATTTGATGCAGAAAACCTAAATAAAAAAGGATATAATTTCAATTTGATAAGTTCTAATGTCAATTTTGGAAATTTCAATTTGATAAGGTAGGGGAAGAGATATCTGCTTGTTTTGTAACTATTTTCAAATTCCAATGCCTTCAAAAGCAAAATTATCCTTTCTAGTGCCAACTTTAGAACTGAAAAATTTTAATGCGTGTTGAATACACCAAATTTAATTTATTTACTACGTTTATTAATTTTTTTGTAGAGAAAAGTTCAAGTCGAATACTAGAGACTAATAAAACGATTACGGTATCTTTAGAAATTGGAGGGTAGGTTGTGTAACTCTCGTAAACTTACTTAACATAGCTATACATACGAAAATAATTTTATCTACAATTACTAAGTTGCAATTATGATTTTTGTATCATGTTGTGTTTGGTGGGTTTAAGATGCTTGGGTAAAAAAAAAAATTATTTTCGGTGTTCCAAAATTTAATTCCCGAGCCCAAATATCTTTTGAAATATCCATAATTATGTAAGCATAAATTATGTGTCATTTCTTTTATATTTGTGGTGTGAAAATAATTAAGGTTTATGAAAGTGTTCATAGGAATATCCTTTTTGAAAAATTAATTAGTCGGTATTTATTTTTCCATAATGTATATTTAAAATGACCATGCAAGTGAAAAATATGTTTCATTTAAGAGGTATGGTCGAAATTTTGGAGCTAGGTAAGGTTAGGAAGTTGGTTAATTTTAATCACCTTTTAATTTCTTTCTTTAGTTAATGATGTGACATAAAATTTTCCACCATACTTTCAATTGTACTTTCTCACTTAATTTTGAAAGGTTAAACACTCCAACTAGCCTCTCTTTTTCTCTATCAATTGATCTTTCTTACCACAAAAATTGGACGAGTTGGCATATTAAATATGAAAGAAATAATAGTTTAAAAGATGTGATATAAAAAAAATGGAAGGAAAACTTAAGACTTGCCATCTTTTTGTCAAAAACGTATCTTGCAAAGAAGGGAGAGAGAGTGATGGTTTTGTGAGGGAAGAAAGGGAAGAAAGAAAGGAAAGAAAGAAAGGAGAAAAAGAAGAAAAAGGCTAAGAAATCTTAACCAAACACACATCATTGTAAGTAGGTTTCATTTAGCATTATTTATGCCTTAAAATTTAAATGTTCATGTTTATTTTATGAGTTTGTTTAAGCTACTGTAATATGTGGTTATGTTAGTTTGTGTTGATGTTAAAATTTTGATGTTTGGTGATGGATGTATGATGTTTTGATGATGGATTTATTTTAGAGGTATCACATGTTAGAAAATTTTTAGTTTCGAAATTTGTGTGATTTATTTCGGGATCATAGATTAATTTTTGGGAAAACCTCAAAGAATAAAAGTTTTTTTTATCTATGTGTCTACTAGCACTCTATAAAATTTCATGATTTTTAGATTATATATAAAGAGTTATGACTGATTTGGTACGGATCATTTGGATGTACCACATGCTGGAAAAAATTTTAGTTACGAACCTTGTGTGATTTATTTAGGAATTTTAGAGTGATTTACGGAAAAAAAACTTAAAGAATAAAACTTGTTCATCTATGTGTCTACTAGCTCTCCGTAAAATTTTATAATTTTTAGATATATATAAGGAGTTATGGCCGATTTGGTATAGGTTATTTAGATGTATCACTACTTGAAAAATTTTTAGGAAAGATATGAGTTTAGGTACTTAAACTTGATTAGTTAAGGTGTTTAGTTAAAATAAGTATTTAATTATACACCTAAGCCACCCTAATATAACCATATGGGTTTGGGAGATATGTATAAATGGGCTTGGACTTAAAATAAAGTGGACTTGAAATAAAACACATGGACTTGGACTAAAACAAAGTGGGCTTAGACTAAAATAAAAAGGGGTTTGGATTACAATCAATGGACTTGAGTTAAAAATAAAAATAGTCTTGGATTAAAATAAAATAGAATTGGATTAAAACAAATGGACTTAGGCTTGGATTAAAAATATAAGATTGGACTAAAATAAAATGGGCTTGGATTAAAATAAAATAGAATTAAATTAAAATAAATGGACTTGGGCTTGGATTAAAATAAATGGGTTTTGATTAAAAAAAAAAAAAGAGTTCGGATGATAATAAATGGACTTGGATATCCTAAGAACACTTAGTGGACCTTGGTACTAAAATAATCAAGTTGGATCATACTATGAAAATATTGATGAAGACCTAAGTGTGGATTGAATTTCTAAAATGGTATAGATATAAATAGTTTGGTGCCTATGAGATATGAAATATGGTTCATGATATATGAAATGGATTAACCCTATTAGACGAGTCTTGAATTCCTTGTGTGAACTCAATGGTATGGAATCGACGGGTTTAGTACCCATGACTTAATGGAATGTGGTTTATGATACATCACGTGTATCATACGCATATGGGATGGATTAAATTGAGAAAAACCATTGAGTCAAAAACGATGAGGTTTGGTAACCGAATCGAATGGAAATTAGATAGGTTTGGTAACCTACTGGATAAAAGAGGTATTAAAAGTTCAGTTGTGTGCGTACTCTAAACCGTGTGTACTGCATCTGTTAGACAATGGATTCCCGTTAATAGTGGCTACAACGAGGGATAATTCCATTGTACCGGAAGGTGAGTTGCGGTTCACCCGGATTAAATATACTATAAGTCGTGTGCTCGCATTGTTAAACAATGGATTTTCGCTAACGAGTGGCTACAACGAGGGATAATTCCATTGTAGCGAGAAAGTGAGCTGTGGTTCACTCGGATTAAATATAGAGTAGACTTGCTAATACCTAGAGTACCCGAAATTAAAATTGGACGAGTCAAAAGTGGGAGGAGTCGGAAAATCATTGCATATCACGTGCATCACCCTACTTACTAATTTTCGGCTCACTCTGTGTTTATTTTATGCCATGACGAGTAAAGGCGATAAAAATGCTAAAAATGAAGCTACCGATTCCTCCCAAAAAAAGGCTCATGTGTGACACGTCAATTATAGGATCTACTTTTGCCCGTAAATTATATTTTGCACTTTGCCACGAAGTGATATTTTGCACTCTTATAATGCATTCAATATAGGATGTTTGTGGTATGGGATTAAATTTGAGACTTCGATCTCTAAGCCGTGGTGCACCCAATCACACCTTTTAGGTAATCGACAAGGGATATAAGGGCGCCACGGGTTGCGTGTCGAAATTAAATAAACAAGTATAAAATAAAAATTATTTTAGTTTAGAAAAACTTTAGTTCGAGGAAAAATTCAAACATTCAATTTACGGATTGATCATCGAAACCTAAATTACTATTCTTTCATTGAATACTTAGCCTAGATTTACTTAGACATTAGAACAAATCCAAATTTTTCCTAAATTCGGTAACTCAAAACTTCGTGCTTGAATTAAATTCTTATTATTGATTGATTTGAGTATTGACACAAGCCTAGGTTAATCAATAATAGCATTGAGAATTAGTAAAATAGTTGAGGCTGAACAACAATTTTAAGATACCTAAATCATTGGATTCATCGTTTTATTTTCTTTAGATAATCAAACCTAATTTGCTATTTGTACTAACTTTTCTTAAAAATTACGGATTAAGAGAGTTACTAGTAATCAATCACAATAGATAATTAACAAATAGATTGCTTAGACAATTATCAATGCAATCATGATTAATGAAATTCAAAAATCAATTAATTAAGATTAGATAAACCAAAAAAAAAAATCAAATTATAAATAATAGTTTAAAAATCAAACTCATGTCTCACATTCTTTTGTAAATTGAAGTTAAAATCCCTCGAACCGAATTGATAAAATTAGCTATACATTATTTGAAGTAATAAACCCTAAATTATATATATAAAAAAGTGTATCTCTAATGTGTAGTCCTAGAGGCTATTTATACATGTAAAGAGATAAATATGATAGCGAATAAAATTTTATTTTAGTTAGTTTCTAAAATTGACCGGGACTTGTTCTTGAATAGGACTCGAGGTTATGTTTTGAATTTTCCGAATTGATATAGAATTAGAAGGTCGAAAAATCTGGACTCAAACTCTTCATGAAGATTGTAGTCCTAGATGTATTCTTTCTATAGGCTTTCAAATCATCTTAATTTAATATATATAACTCCGGATATGGTCTAAACACTAGGTAGGGTTTTAGACTATCATGGAATTCGAATTTCTTTCGGATTCTTCCTTAAATTTACTGACTAACTTTAACATCCCAAAATAAAATGAATTTGTGCATTTAAACCAAATATGAAACGTTTAAGATGTCTACTTTGATTCTTAAGAAGGCCTCTTTTACGTTCGGAGCTCTAAGGATGTGAAATTCTATTTTTTTTCTCTAAATGTCAATTTGTCGAATAGAAATTTTACCCAAATTAATAGACTTTTGCTTCTTTAACTTCAATTATCTCATAAATCACAAAATAAACTTAATTCAGCACATATAAATATAAAATTACATCCAAAAGACTAAATATAAGAA